TGTTCTAGTTATCACTGAGATAAAAATTCGAAGTAGAAAAAATTTCGGGGACATTTTTATTATAAGTAATCAACATTGCAATGTCGTAGCGCTATGAGCAGCGCAGTGTTTATTTACAAGTTTCGGAAACCGTTAACTTCGATGATTAGACTATTGAGTGTCGGCTATCAGAGCTATGGAAACTCGTCAAATCGTATATCTGTCTATTTTTCTGGAAGCTGGGATGTGACCTATGCCCTTGATTTCCGGAAATGGGATCGGCAAACCATCGAGAGTGGGGTAGGCAACTGGCAGATGGAGCAGTATCCGAAATACTAGCCATCCCTATATTTTTGCGATCTGTTAGTTCCTGAGCTTCATCTTAAAGGTTTGGTAATGGTGCGCAGACGAGGCTCTGGCTCAGGGCGAGAGGTACATCCACTCTAGACTTCTTTCAGATCCGCCGTTGGAGGAGGTATGAGAAGAAGACAGGATTCGTGACGCATGCGCCGCTCTTGCAAGGCGGCGCTGCAATTTCTGGCACTGGGCGCGCAGTGAGACATGTGCAACCTGTACCAGTGGAGAGCAGTGAGGCCTCCTCATGCAAACAGGGAAGATTTGGCGCTGCATCGCTTATCGCGACCTCAATGAAACTAATACTGGGGGGGGCGCAGCTTAGATAAGACGACATGTCCGACCTCAGAACACACGCCGGCGCATAAAATGGACCAAGGCGTTAAATATTTCCAATGTGCATGCGTACTTTCTGGCTATCGGACTTGAAGCGGACGTGGAGGGATACAGGTCGCGATTTCACGCATAATGGTTAAAGCTGCATCTGGACATAGCGTTATCCTAGAAGAGAGTGTGCAACCAACAGCCACAATTATTGTAAGAAACATTATCTCATCTGCAGAGATAAATACCATCAGGGATAATGTAAGAGAATCCTTAGGTGTTGAGAACAGGAAGTAAAATGATGAAGGAAGAAGTAATGAAGCCCTACAAGCTAATGGTGTATGAAGACGAACTCTGATAAATCCTTCTTCAAAGCGCCAGTGCTATACTCTTGGGCTGGGCATTACGAAGCCAAGACGACATGCTATTATGGTTTCCCCTTATCCTCCCAACCTCAGATCCCGCGAGTGGGATATGGCCCAGAAAGGCGGCGATAGATATTGTCAATAACTAAGGTACATGTAGAACAATCGACATAACCTGAGAAAGTGGTTATATTTGTGCCTTGCGCAGGTCTTGCTATTGTACATGGACTAGGTAAACTTGTAAAGGATCAGTTGAAAACAGCCAAAAAAAACAGTCCCCTACGCTCACCGATCCCCATGGAAGAAACGTATTGAATACAAGATTTCAAGTTGAATTCAAGCTTTCAGCGGAACATAGGGACTCTGGCCACCTTCCTTACAGTTCCAGAGAACGCAAGTACACAGTTCTACAATACAGTGAAGTCTAATGGACGAAATATAAGAATTGACGAAACTGATGAAAGGAGAAAATGACAAAAGATGAAAAACAAAATGCCACGTATTCGTGCGACCAGAAGACATTTTTCAAGCAACTCGACGATCAAAGAAAGTTGCTAGAAACAGTTCTCAAAAGCTCCGAAATGAAATAATATTGAGGTACTATATGGAGCATTCCCAAGACCTATGATTAGTAGAGAGCAGAGGAAGGGAAGTGTTGAGATATACTATATAAAATGTTCCCGCCTAATAATCCTCAGAGAGATATCTTCAATTCAGTAAGGTAGATGCATAATTAAAAATGAACCATTTACTGTCGGGATAAAAACATTTTGGTGAAAGTACTTCCCGTGTACTCATTCTGGCCACGTGATTTCAAGACACATTCAACGATTCAACTATCATTCCGACGTCTTTTATTGAAGAAGTAACATTGATGATAAGACTGGCAATCCTAATACTTCCAGAAACTATCGGCCTATTGCATATTTCCCCACAGTATACAAGATTTGTTCATCTGTACTAGCCAGTATGCTAAATTCGGCCCCATACAGAGTCCAACAATCTTATGGCAACAGAGCAAAATGATTGCAGAGAGTGTGCTCAAGGTTATTGATATTAGTCAGTGTTGTAGTGAATGAAGCCACGAAAAGGTATCGCCACATTTTTGTATGATGGATTGACAACACTAAGACCTTTCATTCGATATCTGATTTATGGCTTTTGTATGTCCTTCGGCCCTACGAAGAAAAATCACAGTATGCCAACCTAATCCAACACTGCCTGGCATTTTAGCGTACAAATATACAAGTCTCGTTCACTGGACGAAGATATACCACCAAGGAAGCGTTCAAAATAATAATTTTTCAGGGAGATAATCTTCATCCATTATGGTTTTCACTACCTCTATGCCCTCTCAGCAGAATGTTAAGAGATTCGGGTGTGGGATATGAAGTTACCAAAAATCCCCAATTCCTCATTAATCATCATTTCTACATAGACTATATCAAGCTATACGTCAAAGATAAGAACCAGCTTCCTTTGCTGCTTGAATTTGTAAAGTTCTTCGGTGACTATTTGTATGGAGTTTGGCATTGATAAATGCGCTGCAGTGCACTCAAAGAGGGGCAAATCCTGGATCGTGGCAAACACACTCTTATGCTTGGCATAAATACCCAAGAACCAAGAAAGAGGATACTAATAAATATTTCGGCCTCAACTCTTGAACACAACTGAAGTAAAGATGAGGCGTTATATTCGGATTTAAATCTTGCAAAGATGCCCAAAAGCTGTAAACTCCTTCAAATGGAAAGAACCTCATATCATTGATCAACACTTGAACATTACCTGTGGCTGTAATTATTTTTGGTTTTCTTTACTGAACAACTACACTGTAGGAGCTTAATCGAAAAGTTAGGACCACTCCTACCAAGTACAGCATGCTCCATCTCAACATTTTAATGACAAGATTATACTTTCCTAAGAATGAAGAGGGTTGAGGTCTTCTAGATTTTCAGACTTTGGGCGCGAAAAAAATCAACAACCTTCACAAAACATCCTTCAAAAAACGATGGTTGTGCATGAAGTAATTTGTGTCACTGACATGAATTTTATCTCGTTGAACATGAAACAAGCGTACTTTGAAGGTGTAGGTATCAGTAAAGAAGATAGGCTGAGTGAGTGGTCCCAGAAGCGTTTGAACGGTAGGTTTCCCTCTGAGCTGAAAGGCAACGATGTGAACATACATCTTCAGTCTCTTGGCTAACAAAATCTGGCCTCATTTGCGGACACAGAAGGCTTCGTCATTTAGATTCAGCGCGAAGAAACCTCCACTTGTAATTACCGTGAACAATTGTAAAGATGCTGTTGTGATAAGTGCAAAGATACACATGGGATTGGGGATACGAGTAGAGGGCAGCTGCCTCTTTTGCAATCAACCCGGCGAAACCCTCGAACATACGGTGGGAATGTGCTCTGCTTTGGTACGTTCAGAATACCTGAATCGGCTCAATGGCATGCTCAACGGCTCTGCAGTAGTTCATGCGGCAGCTATCTCAGAGGGAAGTATCACGGATTCGAGATCCGCCTCGAGCATAGGTGTGTTTGTGTATATCTGAATGTGTGTGTCGTCCTTTCATACTTCATTATCATCATCATTCCATCTTCCATACCACACGACTAGCAACTCAAGGGGGTAAAAATTGGATTCAGCATAATGCTGATCCCCCAAAAAGGAGTCACACACTTGCCACAGAATAAATGTTATTCACGTGTATATCCACGAGGTCGTAGGCAGCCAATTCGCTATTAAAACAATAAATTACATGAAATGAACGAAAACTAATTATTGTAGCTAAGAAATCTTAAAGATCCGTTGTATTCTTTAAAGAAAGAATTTTCTCTGTCGAATCCAGCTCTAAAAAGCCACCGTTACGATTACAAGCCGAATGCGTTTTGAACTTTACAGAGGAAAATGAGTGTAAGACAAATACTAAATAATCGATATCTGTAAGGAAGTGTTTATTTTCTGTTTTCATTAGGGGTCTTCATGAGAATAAATGGGAAAGTTTGCTCCTGAGAGATTTTTTAGTACGTCCGCAACTTACTCTGTCCGTCAACGAGTAAAGTATCTTCAAGATTAAACACGTCACTTTCGCAGCACAAAGCTATGTGCGAAAAACTGTCATTTCGGTGACTGCTTTAATAGTGCAGCCTCCCGCGCTCTCTCGAAATTGATGTGCCCAATTTCAATAATTGGCGCAGGCGAGGGCGGGAAGTTGGCGAGAAGTGCAGGACGAGATTGTTAGTGGTGGTCGACAGTTTCCTTGAGTATGTTCCATGTCGTTGTCTTGCGCGTGGTGAATTCATATATTAACCGGAAGTTGATAGTAATTTTAGAGCACAAGAAGAAAATGGGAGTTTTCGAGCAGAAAGATGAAAAATATGTAACGCATTTTTCGTCGAAAATTACTGGTCACATGGAATTCATTATTTTATCTTACAAACCCGCAATAAGCAGCACTAGATGCAGAAACACGAAAAAATAAGATTCAATTGAAATATATAGTTAATGAGAATGATTATACTAAAAATTTTCAATGAATTTTTCAACCCTTCGTTTTTTATGTGTTAGTTTTTACTTTTAATTAAACTCATAAGAAAGTTTTCTCTTGACAAACACATTCTTAAAACGTTAGTTTCATTTACAGTTCGTGTTTCATCAAAAAGTCAATATTTAAACGAAATAACAATGTCAATGGGCACGAAAGAACTCCCAAGAAAATTTAGACCAAGACCTTGAGGCATGAATCATTATTACATTCTGAATAAACTCTAGTTAAAAATTGTAAAAAGTAGTTAATATTACTTAACAAAATGATATTACAAATGTATTCTAAGTATGTGTATCAAACGTTGAAGTAGTACCCTCGGAGACATACAGGCATCCTAGTAAAACACTTCGTCGCACCTCAAGATATAACCGCAATCTAACGCTGAACATTGTATGTAAATCAGATTATTTAAAGATGAAATACTCACTCGGAGCTGTCGGGTGGAGCATTTGAAGGCGCTGCAGGCGGAATGCCAGCTAGGGGCGTGTGCCGCCCACGACGGCTGAGCTACACCTCACGCCGCGCGGAGCGGCGCTCGATGGCGCTGGCATCGAAATGACCCGCGGGAAAACAGAACGGCGATTTGTGCAGCGCGGTTCGGGCACCGCAGGGCAAGGCAATGAGGGAACGAGGGAATTAGCGCGGCCGGGCGGTGGGCGGCGCGGGCGCGTGGGCGGGCGGGGGGAGCGAGGGCGAGGAGGTCCAGCGTAGAGCGGCTGGGCGGAGGCGCCGCCAAGCAGCATCCTCTACTCAGCCTGCCCCTCGGGGGGACAAAGGCAGTTTAAGGGCCCAGACAACCAGCCACGCAAAATATACAATGCGGTGGATCCGCACGTATGCTCAGATCTTTCAAAATCCTGCCACCAGATTTTACAAAATTCAATCTATCGAAAAGTTTACCATTATCAATACCAATTAAACATGTTTGCTTATTTTTTAAACTTATTTTTGTCGAAAAAAAAGTAAAAACTGTATGTGACGTATGAGGCAGAAATGTAATCTATGTAGGCTTTTTTTGAGATGCAGAATTCCCACTCCGCCCTTTTAATGATTTTTTTAACATTTAAATGATGAATAAAACATTTGCAACATTTTAAAAAATAGACATTTTCTCTAATAACTAGTGGTACTAAAACAGCCCAAGCTTTCTCGCATTATTTCTAAATTTGCAATTTACTAAAAATTAGGGAATTCAGCGAAAAATAGATCTGCGCATTTCTTTTAAACGTTCCCTGTTCTGTCCGTGGGAAAAAATTAAGAAAAAAATTTGGAACGGTTTTCTGAAAAATGTTTTTAGTTTTCTCAATTTCAAGCACATATTACGCGAAAACTACTATTTGTTTTAATATTTTATATGGACTTTTTTTAAAGAGCTGTTTTAGAACAGATTTCATTTTGGGCAAAAAACTCTATCTTCAGCTTCGTAGTTTTGAAATGTTAACTATTTGCAATTTTTGAAAATGCAAAGAGCTTGTTGGAAATGAGACTAGCACTGATGTTTTTACTGTACTTTGATACATACGAAGGGGGAAAAAAATTTTTTTTTTGAAAAAAATTGTTTAAACATTTAAAAATTGCCTCTATTTTACGCAAAATTGTGGGAAAACTACTTATATTTTTGAAAATGGCACAGGTCCTGATTTCAAAATCTTTGAAGAACAAATTTTATTAAGAAAAATGTATCTTCAATATTGCAGTTGTAAGAAGACGCCGAAAAATTTCAAACTTTTGAAATTTTTTAAAACTCTGAGATGTCAATGAATATGAGAACTTCGCCATTATTTAAGCGTCATTTATGGTATCTGAGGACAGAATTTAATAAACAAAATTGCAACCATTGTTGGCAAATGTTTTATTTTCAATTGCAGCTTAATGTTAAGTTCCGCCAAAAATCAAAGTATCCGTTTCAAACTTAGTGGTCCTTGAATTCCTTTAAGTCTAACAGGGAGTATCAATTTTGGAAAACATCGTTTGAACAATTTAGGTGCTAGCGTTAAACACAGTCAGTCAAAGATGTTTTTACCATCAATCGATTTTTCACTACCTACCAAGGACCCACGAAACAAGTGTTCTGACTTCAGAACACATCTGGGGAAGTAATTTACTATATATACAGGTGTCCATGGAGAAAACGTCAAAACTTCGAAAATATACTCTGACAATTTGAAGCATATTTTGTTTAATCAACTCCTTGGATGTTCCAAATGGTTGAGCCGCAATAAGTACTCAGAAGTTGGTTTGAAAAAATACTTTCTATGCACAAATTTGTATTGCAGAAACATACATGAAACATTTGGAGTGAAATATAAGAAAATTGCGTTTATGTGTCACTGTGAATGCGAATTTTAGGCTCTTTTTCACAGAAAACGTTTTAGTTTTCGAAAAACTTTATGTCAAGTCATTTGAACCACTTTAACTCACAAATGCAATAAAGTTTACAAATTACTGGAAATGTACATATTAACGGCGTAAGAGATATTAAATAATACATTTGTGTACATTTTGAAAAAACAAAAGAATATTCAAAAATGAACTGTATGTCATTTTAAACAGTGCAGTTAGCATTACCCGTTGAAAAAGTTTGAAGAAAAAATCGGGTGCCATTTTTGAGAAAATGGCGTTTGAGCGTTTATGAGGCGAAGGAATTTTTCCTGAAGTTGTATTTCATGAGCGCACTATAGTCGATATGGAGAGTTTACTATAACCGAATCATCTAGTATATGTTTGTAATATATGTGGATCGGGATCAGTGACTTTGCTTCACCATAAATAAAAATTCACTTTATCCGAGTTCACTATATTCAGAGTCGACTGGATTTAGTTATTTTCCCGTAGTATTGACTTTTATCGTTTGACTTTTTGAAGTGAAGTCGTAAGTGTTAGTAGAACAGAACTTTTCCAATAACACGAGAAAGTATGTGTTAATGTAGCACCAATTGTTTTAAATGTCAGTCGTCAGCTCGTTTCAGGATCTTCAGTGACTGAAATTATGTAAGAGAACAGGGAACAGACGATTGAATAGTTGTACGTGCTCTAAAGGGGCGATACAGTCCATGTATGGAAAATGGGCTAGAAAGTTTCGATGTTTGCGAAGAAGAGAAACAGGAAGAAAAATAAGAAGAAACATTGTACAACCAGATAGCATGAACTTTTACTGCTAGTTCGTGATCCAATGGCAATTCAGGAATGTCAGAAATAGTAATTTCATAGTTCCACTTTTGCGATGCCAAAATGGTGGTAATTACATTAATTTATGTTGTATCAAGCAAAAGACATTTGGTATGACTATTCAACAAGCAGTTACATTGCTTACCATTACTCAATGGAACTTGATACAGTTTGTTTCGCTACTATAAATAAAGTTAATTTAATAATTGAAGGTGAAATATGTTTAAAAGAATATGTTATAAGCTCTAGATCAGAAAAACAAAACAAGAATATCATAAAGTAATTTGATACTAATTTCCGATGTAAGCAGGAAATGAAAGGCAAGTATGCAGCCCCTGGCCATGCGAGAGGTGTCTATGGTTACTTTAGCTTCCCAGGAAATCAGGAAAAAAACAAAACAATGAAACAGTGTCAATTTTGACTGAAGAAAGAAAATATTATTCCTCCTTTTCTCATACTGCGCGTTCCGGTTGAATTGTCTTACTCAGTGCATCCCTGCTTACCATCCATCTGACGTAATGCGACAGAAAACCTCCAAAGAAAAGGCCGCTCGCTTTTAAATGTTTGCTATTCATGTGTTGAGGTATGACACTTTTTTTAATATTCTTGGTATGTAAGAATAGTGTTGTATATACAGGAGAGTCACATAACTGTAGCGCCGTCTGTAATTTTTAAACAGTTGAAATTATTGCAATGTGGTTTTCGCGGAAGTGCATGAGCGAATGGAGTTAATGGATATGTGTATTCGTTTCCACTTTATCGCTTGAATTTTACGAGTTATTGAGGTAACTCTTTTTTTCAAATGAAAAATTCATATTATTTAGTCTATAATGACGAACGTGAAAAGGCGAATCCGGTGATTTATATTTTTTCATATGTTAGATAAAAAACTTTGAGAAATGTTGATATTTTTGCGACTCGTATTTAACGGATATTTTGAATGTAACCGTCCACCACCCAAGGTCACGCAGCGCCCTTTCTGTTAACGTGCGCTCGGGGCGTTGAAATATCCGTTAAACACGAGTCGCAACAATCAAAATTACTCAAAAAGTGCTTATCTAACATATGCCAATATGAATATCATTACATTCGTCTTGATAGACTAAAATATATGTATACTTCCATTAAAAAAGTTACCTCAGTATCTCGTAAAATACAAGTGTAAAATGGAAAAACGAATATATGTATAAACTATTCCCATTCCCTTATGCACGTCTGTGAAAACGGCAAGAACTTCAACCGTTCAAAAATTGAGGAGGTGCTAAAGTGACGTGACTCATTCTGCATATGCCGTACATGTTATCGCAGTATTAGTAAAGACAGTTTTTATTAACATATTTCATTTATTGCAGTATTATACGAATTATCTTTGCTCGTTTTGAATAGGGTGCATTCTGCTTTACGGCAAACGTTTTGTTTCGCAAACTTTTAAAAAATCCCGTCCGTAAAATGTAATGTAAATGTAAATGTAAATGGACGTAAAATGTTTTTACGTCCATACCCCGGCTGAAGTTCCAATGGAGAAGAAACAATATTGCTTGGGACATTGCGATCTAACTAGCGGGAAATATCATCTACACTGCGAGATTATAAAGATGCAGAATCTTGTTCTAGTATTTTTGTTCACCATAGAAATCTTACAATTGACGTGTAGAAAGCAAGAGTGAGCTATACCACAATTTTTCCAAAATTGAGATTTTTACATGATTATGTAGTACATTCTTTATTTACAACTGTTTTTACTATTATTAATAAATTTCACCTTCTTTCCATATTTTTTCGAGCATTAATATTCAATAAATTAAAACTTGGGTATCTGCTGTACATAGTGAGCTATGCCGAGCGTCCTCTCCAATACCGCGCCAAGCTGAGGTTGCGTGACCAATGGTTTAATACACGGACGGCGCTGAAAGTGATTGCGTTCCAAGTAGTTGTGAGAAATCAAGACACGGAAGAGAAATGTGAGTGATTGGAAGAGAGTAAAATCCAAATTAAATAGAAACTTAGTATTGTCATACGTAAGAAGTATAATACAAGTAAACTTATCCGGCAAAGCAGAAGGGCAAGCTTACGACTTTATTTAACAGTTGCTTAAGAAAAAAGGAAAGTTCAACTAGCAACTACACATCTTTTCAGATATTTAAAAAAAATATAATATGAAGAGACTGTATCCAGCTGGAAGGAAGATAGTAGAAGACTGCATTCTCCGCGATTTTACCGGCCCGCGATCGCTCGCCCCTTTCTCTCGAGACCACGCTCGATCGTCCGTGGCAGCAGGTTGCGCGCTCTCGGTCTGTTGCCGATAACTATGCTATGTTTCAGGAAAAGGAGGGAGTATTGGTATTTAAAATAAACGACCAATAATTTCTATCTCTAAATGAAAGTAGTAGTACGACCCACAATTTGGCAGCTTGGCCGATGCCACCGATGGCGCCCTTACGACCTGTGATGCAACCACTAGGTTGAATGATGTA